TTTGTACGATCATTTTGACCTCTGTACGATGTACGATCAATAATGAAAAAAATCCCATAATGTACGATAATTGCGAAATTTCAGAACGTGTTTTTTCCAAAGTCAACCTCATCAAAACAAAGCCATGAAATCGGCGCATTACAGACGCTCTAAATGGGTTGGTGCACACCTCAGGACCCTCAACATCTGGCAACACGCAGGATTCTGATGACAGCGACTCAGAGGTGGAGTTTGGACCGTCCCACAAGGTACGCCTATGGCCCTATGATTTCCGAACAAGGATGGAATTGCGGAATCCAGTCAACGGAATTTACTGTATAACGCGGAATGTCACGGAATTTGTCAAAGTTTGGATGAATTAATCAAAGGAAGGTCATTACACTTAAATCGTGATATGGACTAGTATCTGTAACCATTAAGCCACAAAAAGGCTATTTAAATATAAATCCTGCATGTTCTGTGTCTGTCTGAATCATAGTCTATGGTCTGAATGAATGTCACGCGGTTTTGTTTACTACACACATACTGAAGCGCGCGTGACGCTGGCGGTGATTTCAGCATCTGCCTTCTCACTAAATAGGACATAAATACATGAACAACACCCCCAGAACTGCTCTGTCAAAAATATATAGTTTCTGCCAGAAATGTATAACTATTGTTCAGTAGAATGTACGTACAACTACTACTACTAAAATTATTAAGGAATAATCACAATATTTCTTCCATGTTTCAATTTCAATTGTAAATCCCCTTTGTTTGCCAAAAAAATAAAATTTGTTTAATTTTCATTAATTAAAAGATCAATTAAATTAATGTTATGCCTTCATTCGATAACCAGAAAAATTTAAATACACAATGTAGAATTTCTAAAGAAAAAAAAAACATTTCATAAGGCTATAAATAAAAGTAGTTTTTATGCATTCAAATAATTAGACATATTAAAACACAGAATCTGGCAACAATAAACAAGGTGAAAAAAATAGAACATGTCATAAGACCCATGTAATTTTTGTTAAACTTTTTAATAGATTTGATGTTGAATTGTATACGTTTCATTATTTAATTAGACGTGCTTTTGATTAATACAATTTTATTTAACCATTTAAAAAGGAGTCCAGAAAAATTTAAATGGAAAAAAACAGAATGGAATTTGGGAAAAAAATAAAATGTATTTCATAGGGCCCAGCATAGTTATTTATTTATTGTGGTAATTTGAAGGTTGTGTCAAAAAGTTGTTGTTCTAGTCTAGTAGACAGCTGTATTCTGTATGTTTTTACTCGTGTACGATAATTTTCTTCCAAATACGATAATTTTGAG